AGGCGGAGGATGAGGCAGGCCAGAACTGCGGACCGAGCGTTGGGCCTTCCCTTTCATCCTGTAGGCCCCGGCAGCGTCCCCCACCGTGGGCTCTGTGTTACAGGAGCTTACACTGTGACAGGAGATCCTGTGAGAGAGGTGGAGAGCATGAAGTGAAGGCGGAGGATGAGGCAGGCCAGAACTGCGGACCGAGCGTTGGGCCTTCCCTTTCATCCTGTAGGCCCCGGCAGCGTCCCCCACCGTGGGCTCTGTGTTACAGGAACTTACACTGTGACAGGAGATCCTGTGAGAGAGGTGGAGAGCATGAAGTGAAGGCGGAGGATGAGGCAGGCCAGAACTGCGGACCGAGCGTTGGGCCTTCCCTTTCATCCTGTAGGCCCCAGCAGCGTCCCCCACCGTGGGCTCTGTGTTACAGGAACACACCCTCAGCAGCGCTGTTTCAGATCGGGAATCTCTGCTCTCCACCAGGGAGAGCACTCCACTTACCGAGTTCACTGTCTTATCCTTTTTGCACATACCACGTCCCCAGAAAAGATTTGTCCAACTACGGAGAGGGCTAATTGAAGGAAAATCAAGGCCTAAAATATTGGTTGTGGAATCTTTATTTTACTCAATTTTTTTAAGTTAAGAATTGAACTTGTGCTTGCCTTGTGCTTGCCAGGCAGGCACTTATGCCGCTGAGCTATCCTCCTGGCCCTTGGAATCTGTGTTTTAATATGATTTTCCTCCTCTAATTAAAGTGGTATTGTCCACCATGGAGCTGGGGGCCGTGCAGGATGTTGCAGGTTCACCAGGGGGCCTCTGCGTCTCCACTGGCCCTGCAGAATGTCGCGGAGGAGGCATGTGTGGATTACTACTGCACTAGGTGGTGCAAGGGCCAGCATTGGGTATACTGCTGAGAACATTATAAGCTACATGTCCTGTGCGCTGAACTTTTCCGGGCGGCAACAAGAATCTTTTTTCCGAATGGAGCTAGATTTCATTAACTTTAGAATACAGCTTGAACGATTCAGCCTGGATTACTTGTGTTCATGTAGTGCTGTACTCCGTTCTGACTGATGGGAGACTACTCATGGAGAAACGTTGCAAGTGATTTTCTAAAGGTGTAACACTGTGTGATTGTGGTTGAATTCTTTTACCGAGGACTTTATTGTTCTTAAGAAGCTATAGCAATCATATTTCATTTAGCTCTGTTCACCTAAAATCATGGCTATAATTTATTTCCTTTCTTATGCTTATAGGTTTTTGAAAATAAAGTTAACTCAGAAAAGGTAAAACCCTTTTGTCAGAATTTCCCATGTAATGATTATCAGTGTTCTACCAAAGTGTTTAGAAAGGTGTAACTAATACATTTATTGAGCAAACTATTCATAGGCATTGCTAGCCTCTGGAGGGAGACAGTGAATCAGGGCTCTGGTGGGTTTGAGTAACGTTTCATGATGCACCTGTTTATAAACCTGATTTGGTTTTTGTCAGTGTGAAGTCATAATACATTATTACATTAATACAAGTAGAAGATATTCTCAAAGGATTCAGTTTCTCTGTCCACACTGGTACAGCATGAACCTCTGAACGTGTGCCTGGAGCTGGTGGGGAGGGCGGTGTATCTGAGGTAGCATAAATCTTACACCTTTATATTTCCTTGAAAAATCTGCTTTCAGAAAGAAAACTACATGCTAAATACAGTAGAACTGTTAGTTCTTGAATGTACTTACAGAAAAGATTTAAAACCCAAAGAAAAATAAGGATCATGTTAGGAAAACAGTATAAACCACAGTTTTGATGTCTATAAAATGTTCAAATTTAGGTAGGTGTTATATACTAAAACACATTAAGGAATGATTTTTTTATTGAAAGAAAGACAAAACATAAAACAGGCAGAAATAGTACATACTTTCAAAGAAAGAAATAAACACTAATAACTCACTAGTTGATGTATACTTATTGTCCGCCCACAAATAGTTGTTCAAGAGACAAAAATGAAACATATAAATGGGAATTCAACCAGGGAGACTGCAAACAGTTCTGTTCAACTATACAAAAAAAACCTAAGTAATATGGCTATCAATCCTATACACTTAGACATGTACGCATTTATCCATATCTTCATTTATGTTGAGACCTAACACAATTTATTAAAATCCTTCTGAACAAAGATTAATAATACGGGGACTTAGCTCAACGGCCTTGCAAGTGTAAGGTCTTGAGTTACATCTCTGATCCAAAAAAAAAAAAAGATTAATAATATTGCTGGATTTCACATACTGCAGTGCCCCTCTTTCCTTCAAAGTGTTTGTTCCTTTCATCATGTGTCATAAGATCAGTTCTCATAAACTATTCATAGGTTTTACGCAAGCATGAGTCTTAACATGTATTTCTATCCTTTCTATATTAGGGGGAGAAACAGAACGAAGCAGGACAGAACTAAACATTTTCCTATAGACACATAAAACTAAAAGGACATACAAAACTGCTGTACAAGGAGTTCTGCCATGGTTACTGTGCTGTTTCTTGTTATCATCATCAGAATTGGCTATATCATCAGGTAAAGTATAATTGAATGTATCAGTACATAACAGAAATACAACTTTGTAGATAGTGTAGAGCTACAAAAACAGGGTAATCAAATCAGAATGGATATTGTGGTGAATCATTGTCATTTTCAGTATAGTTGTCTCTCTCCTCAACTTGATACCAGCAACCTAACAGCTTTGAATAAAATATGTCAATAACAAGCAGCAATCAAACAAATCAGATTTAAGTAAGATCAGTCATGATACAACAGTATAAGTCATACAGGGATCCTGATTGAGTTAATAGGAAATTAAAGATGACCACTGTGCTATGTCCTGATATCTTCGGGACGGCTGTCTGTGCCCTCAGATCCAGTGCTTGTGTACAAACTGAAATGGAACAAGTTCCAACCAAGCAGAGTGGCGTGAGTAATAGGGGTTTTAGTTCCTGATATGCTATTAGCTATAACTTCTGCTGTGTTTTTTGAAGACTATTCCTCCCCTTTACTCCCCCAGAATGAACTGTGTATTTCTGGGTCTCCCTAACACTCACGGTTTTGTATTGGGGAAGCAACCTGCTATTTATCTAAGTGTTGCTGAACTTTCTCACTCCTGGGCTGGATTTCTAGTTATATTTCTTCATTTATTAAAGTCTGTCTGTTCAAACTATCCATAAATACTGGTCCAATTCCCCCTATTACTCTCTGGTTCCCTATCACATCGAGTTCCGTTTGATTTTGGTCCATATAACCTTCTTCAGGCTAATGATATTATAAAGAGCCTCTCGGTGGACCCTTGATCCACTCTGCCTGCGATTCTTTTTTCCCTTAAGTTAGTGTATCTAGGCCATCTATATTAGAAATTATATCCAATCTTCTCTGCCTCATTTCTTCTCTTTTTTTTGTCTTTTTCTTTTTTTTTTTTTTTTTTTTATTGGTACCGGGGATCGAACTCACGACCGCCTGCTTGCAAGGCAGGTGCTTATGCCACTGAGCTAAATCCCCAGCCCCCTCTGCCTCATTTCTGTTGAGCTCTTTTTCTATCATTAGTTGTCTGTTTGTCTTCTTCATTTTGCTTTCTGCTCCATTCATTGTGGCCTCTCTGCTACTGTTTCTGGAATCCTGGTACTTTACTCTCTCTTTAGAATGTCCTGCAGTATTCTCTGCAGAGTTGGATTGGTGGTTGCTCTGCTCTCAGTTCGGTTCACCAATTCCCGTTCTCAGACCGTTTACGTCTCCAGTGAGTTGAAACTAGCAGGCTGTCCCGGCTGCGCCAGTTCAGGCATGGCAGCAGCAGCAAGTTCAATCCACGAGTTCTATGGGCGGCACGTAGACTTTAGCTGTTCAGTAATAGTACCTGAACTGCATTTCCAATTGGTTTCTCCCAGCTTAGTTTGTTCCTGGGTCGGCAGGGTGTATTTCCCTCTGCGTAGGACTCCCCACGCTGCCCCATTCCTGGAATCTCAGCTGGCTGTCTCAGAGAGCCTCCCTAGCTGCTGTTACCTTCTGCCATCTGTTCTCGATCTCCCAAGGGATGGTTATATAAGCTATGTTTCCCTAGAGAGTATCAGCAATAGTAGCTACAGTCACTGAAATAACACTGCTTAGTAATGTGCATATTGCTTATGTGTTAGTATCTGTATATGTATAAAATTTATGTGTACAATTTTCAGAAGTGCACTAAATAAATATTAGTAATTCCAGGATATTTTGAGATTCTGTCACACATTAAGCACAGTACAAGAAACACCACATCCTTATTGTTCTTTGAATTACATTTGATTAGGGAATCACATATAAAAGACACATTCAAGTACAGTGGTAATAAACACTCACATAGGTTCAAAGGCCAAAGTTGCGGTACAGAGTTATGGGTGAAATTTCTCACAAGTTTCTTTGAAGAAAAGATATTTTGGTTTGGTTTATAAGTTAGGTAAAATACACACCTAACTGGTGAAAAGGGAGATCATTGCAGGCTGAGGGAGGTGTGAACAAAGGTAAGGACCAGTGTCAAGAGGGGTAGGGTAGATGCCAGCTGCGATGCCAGGAGGCTGGGCAAGCTAAGAAGCAGCCAGAAAGACTGCATGGGCCGGAGTGCCAAGAGCTCAGTGTAGACAAAACTCACATGCATTTTATTCCATGTATTAACATGAAAAGGAAGCAGAGGTAGGTTGTTACTGTTTTATTTGTCTGTATTTCTGGAAGACTCTTGGATGGCTTAGAGTGCTAGAAAATGGAAAGAATTAAGAAACCTAAAATTACCCACAAAAGCAAACAGAAAGGCATGTAGTGAAGTTGAAGCACAAAGTGCACATGGGAACTCAGCAGGCCACGGCTGGCTTGCCAACATGGTATCCTGAAGCTGGGAGCAGGTGTAATTACTTTTGTGTCATAAGAAGGACGTTCTGCAGGCCTGAAGATTGGGTCCAGAAGTCACGTTAGGAGGAGGCCTTTGCTTAAGTGAGGCTGCCAACGAAAGTGCTAGAGCCAAGCAGGCAGGGCTGGGTCCTGAGAGGAAGAGGCAGAGCAGGAAACAGTGAAGACGGGCCCGCGTTTAAACAGTCTGTTAGCAGTTTCAGCCAGGCAGAGGTGGCAGTTTAGAGGTCCTTATGTTAAGCTAGGAGAGAACTGCCAGGTGTGGAGATACGCACCTGCAATCCCGTCACTCGGGAGGCTGAGGTAGGAGCATTGCCATGAGTCACGGCCAGCCTAAATTGCACAGCAAGACTGTCTCCAAAAACAGAAAAGGGGAAGAAGCTGAGAACACGCTTTTCTGTGTTACAAAAAAAAAAATCTATAGATAACAAGGAAAGATAAGGTGTAGAAAAATTTCTCAGAAGACAGAAGGCGTGAGTTTGAAACATAGAAGTATTAATTCTGAACAGGAAGGAAGTTGTGAGTAGAGAAGGAGGTTGGTGCGTTTGTGTTTCACGAGGTGATTCTGTCTCGGTAACTGTCTGGGTGACTACTTAGCATTCAGGTAAAAGCGAGGAGGTGGAGTTCTGCTCGGACACTGATTTTGGATTGATCTCAGAATGTGCGTGTTCCAGGCAAAGACAGTGCGAGTGGGTGGCGAGCTGGATGGGTCGAAGAGTGTTGAGTGGAGAGAATTAGAGTCTTTCTGTATGCACATGTTCTTTAAACCATGCGCACATTTCTTTTTTAGTGCGAGCACCACTAGCTCCTGCAGAGGTGACGTGTGGAGCGGTGAGAGTGCAGAGCCTGCAGCCCTCGCCGGCATCCAGCCGGGCTTCCTGGCAGACGGTGCACTCCGGCTGAGGTCCAGAGCGGGCGCTGTGTCAGTGACTTCTGATACGTGCAGGAGAGAGCTAGCAGAAGTGGTGAGAAATGAGAAAGGATTGTTCGCTAGGATTTCTTCTAAAAATAAAAAATGGATTTATGTTCTAGTATATGTCTGCTGAAGCAAGCACTGGGTTTATGTCTTAAAAGAGTCAATTCTATCTTGCACTTTCTACTGCGGGCTACTTTCTAGTGTAAGGCTGAAGTTTAGGATAAGGACTACAGAGGGTAGTGACTTGGGCTCAGCTCCTGCAGAGGAGTGACATTTACACCCCACATTCGTAAGGGTGAATGTCTGCTCTTCTGCTATACTAGTAAACATGCCAGGTTAATAAAATGCTGCTTTTGTATTTTCTTAAACAAGGGATTGAAAATACAGGCTTGAAAATATAACCCAGTTCCTAATTTCTTTGATTTGTTGCACAGTGTATACCTTGTGAGTAAAAGTAATAACCTCTCAGCATTATAATCAAATGTTTGTAGAATAGAAACAATACACTTCTATGCAATAATACTGCAGAGTATTCCAGGATTTTGTATGTATATATGTTTATACTTGTATGTAGCCTTGAACAGATACTGCTTGTTTAACAACCTACCTGGTTAATGACTGTTCTGGCTTACGACCAGCCACATGAACTTAGGACCCAACCTGTACTGTCAGGCTGTGAGAAGCAGGGCGGCCTGCGGGTGGCTTCTGTAGTACGGTATTGAAACTTTTGCTGATCGTAACCTACTGCAGTTTCATGTGCTGTTACACATTACGGTACTGCAGGGAAGGGTTATGCAAATAACAGCACAGTCATCAAGTTAGGGCTTTTCTTTGACCATTTCTTTGTTCTGAATATTGTGACATAGTACAGCTGTATGCACAATTTCTCGTTTAACAACCAGCTTGTTTAATGACCTAGTTGCAGTTAACAGACCTCAGTTGTTAAATAAGTAGCATCTATATTGCTTAATGTTGGGGCACGTTCTGAAAACTGTACCTTAGCGTGCATCATAGAGTATATTTACACAAAGCAAGACAACTGTGGCATCAGGAAGTGCTGTAATTTTATGGAACCAATTATTAAATTATTAAACTGTCACTGACTAAAATGTCATTGTGTGACAAATGACTGTACTAAAATATAATTTTAGCTACTGTATATTTTGGTATCAATATAGCATGTACAGATAGATACGTATACACATATCTAACCAAAATGTTTAGATGTAAGTTTGGAGCACAAGATACACATCTCAAAAAACTTGAAATTGGAGAGCATCTTAGAGGTCACTCATGTCTGCCTCCCAAGTGCCAAACTATCTTGTTTTTTTGGTGGGTAGCAGGAAATGAACTCAGGACCTTAAGCTTGCCAGGCAGGTGCTGTGCCACTGAGGTATATCCCTGGCTTCCTGAAATTATCTTCTGTAATGACCTTTTTTAAAATTTGGAAAATAGCAAGTCTATTTAAGACAGTATCATATTATATACAGTTATTAAAATGTAAATCTCATAAAAATTTTATAAGAAAGAAAATTTTTAAATTAAAATGTAATTGACTCACAGTAAAGTTCACCACCCTGTGACATAAAGCTCAGTGAGGTTTGGCAAAGGTCTCCCCCTAGAATCAGTAGGGCAGTTCTCTCGGCCCCTCGGGATTTCTATTGTGTTCTTTTGTGATCAGCCCTCCACCCCAGCACCAGTGTCTGATGCGCAGTAACAGCGAGTAATTTAACAGCGAGTAATTTGCTTTTATTCTGCTTGGTCTTTGTTAAAGTGTCAGTGTAACTGGAATCAAGTATGTAGCCTTTTGAGTCGACCTTTCATTTAACATAGTGCTTCTCATCCTAGCCTGTGTCATGGCATTTATCAGTGTTTGATTTCTTCTGTTGACTGTGTTCTGTGGTGTGGCCACACCAGTTTGTTTATCCATTCACCACTTGAAGGATATTGGCTTGTTTCCATTCTTTGAAAATTATGGGTAGAAATACTGCAGATATTCACAAGCAGTTTTGTGTAAACATAATTTCCTCTCTTGTTATCTAAGAGTGGGATTACTGGATCGTAAACATGTAACTCGAAAACATGTTCCAAAGAAGTTATATTGGTAAAATTGTTTCTTTTTGCTCTTTGATCACCTGCTCTTCTTTCTTTGTGCTCCAGTGAAGGTAATTTCAGTCAGCCGGTCTTCAAGTTGTTTCTTTTCTCGGCTGTGTTACTTACTAATGAATCCATTGAAAATATTGCTATCCCTGTTTCAGTTTCTTGTTCGTAGTATTTTCAATTGGCAGCATCCTACAGATTCTGTCCTTACAGTCCCCAGCTGTTCATGCATTTTACTCAAACATATTAATGATGGTTATTTCATAACGTGGTCTCTGATAATTGTAACCAAGGCTAATCTGCTGATGTTTTCTATTGATTTTCTTTTTGTGCTGTTTTATGTTGTTTTATTTTGAGAGAAAGCCGGCCTGGAATCTTGTGCTAAAGCAGTCCTCGTGTCTCAGCCTCCCAAGGAGCTGAGATGACAGGTGTGCATACCACAGCTGGTGATCAGTTCATTTTGATAGTGCTTTTTGTTGTTGCTGCTTTGGGTACTTCTTAATTTTTAATTGAGTGTTGGTAGTGGTATACAAAGGCAGAGCCTGAGCTAAACAAAATTCAGGTGAAGAATTACCTTACCTATTTTTCTGCTCTGCCATGCATGCAGGTTCTTGACTTAGCATGTTTAGGATACAAGATAGGCTTCGGTTCAGTGTTTCCTCCATAACCTACCGTGAAACACTGGCTTGGGATTTCACAGGGCTTCACTTGTGTTCAGGGTGATTCTGGGTGTGCCTGACAGTTTTCTTAATCACCCTGTCCTTCCTCAGCCCGAATCCTGCCTGCGTCCCTTCCTTGCCCTGCCACTGGCCTCGGAGCACACCGGCCAGCCGGAGGGGAGGCCAGCTTTTTCCTGTGGTCCCTGCAGGTCCTGGGTTTCGGCCCTCCATGGAGGCCTTCGTCATCAAAGAGCCTGCGCCTCCGGCAGGTATCTCAGCATCGCCTTCAGCGATCGGGCCTGCCATCCAAGAGGGTTTCGTGCTGTTCGCTTCCTGGTAGGCTTGGCCATTGTAGCCACAAAGAGACCTGGGAGCGGAACTGGTTTTTTGCTCATCTTTAGGGCTGTTTGTTTGTTTTGGTTCACGTGCTTCTGTCCGGGAGACTTTGCCACAGACCTTCTTACAGTTTCAGATTTCTGTTCTGTGGGGCAGAAGGGCCCGAGTAGGGCATTAAGCAGTCCCCCAGCTGGAGCAGCTTCCCGCCAAGAGGATTCCTGGCACCCCTAGTCTGCCCCGGGTCCTGCTCTGAGCACTGTGGGGCCTGCGGGGTGAATGGGTGCCGATGGCTCTGCCGCGTCAGCACAGGAGTCCGAATCCTCGTCCCGCGCGCAGGGCTTGGCCTCCCTCCCCGGAGCCAGCGTCGCGCGCAGGGCTTGGCCTCCCTCCCCGGAGCCAGCGTCACTGACCAGGTTCACCTCCTTGGCTTCCTGGTCTGCCTTGCTTCTGGGTTTAGACTGGTTGCTCTTTAACCTCAGCTTTCATATTGTAACAAAATTGTTTTAAGGGATACTTCCAGCTTGTGTGTATTTTTAGGGTATGAGCAGTGCTCATTCTAGTTTTCTCCATTTTTGGCAGAAGTGGAATTTTGAATATAAGTGTACTTTAAAAAGGAACACACTCCTATATAAGAATGCCTTTTAAACAGATATATAGCCACACTGTAACCCTGAAAATCTAGATAATACTTCTTTGTCTGACTGCACCATTTAGTGAGAATCTTGTTGTTGGGCATTAGGTGCCATGCCAAACATCTGTGAAGCTGAGTCTTTCAGAATATACTCCGTAGACTGAGTTGGAAATAAGACGGTTTTATTTAGATTGTTGCTGCTGTCACAACAGCAGGACACCTCTGCTCTCTGATTAGTGCCCAGATACAGCGTCCAGGGAGCCTACAAGCAGCAGGAGGTGAGACAGTACTCAAGGGACTGTTCTGCTTGGTTCTGCGAGTGGTCAGACGGGATCGCCGTCACTGGGGAGCTAACACGAGGAGCTGGCGACTGTCCTGTGTTTTGTGTTCTCCATAGGAGAATTCAAACAAGCCACGTAAATAGTTCTACAGAGTATAGGCAGAGTCTACTGCAGTGTGGTAGCTTTTCACAGTGACAGAGATGAAGGCACACAGGAGTTAAGATGGCAGTTGTGCCGCATTAAGCCCCATGTTACATATGTGAGTGGAGATTCCTTCCTCGGAGGTTACTGTTCTTTGAAAGGCAAACGGGCTGTTTTGACCCGCGTTAGAGGCAAGGAGGCCCCTGTGTATTTCCCAGGTGCAGTGCTTCTGTTTAGCTTGTCTTGAGACCTGCAGGTGTTTTCCAGTCTGTCACGCAGTCTGGTCTGTATTATTAGCATGCTCAGAAGAGGTTACATTCTTCTGGGCTAGCATTTGAAACCATGAGCTTGTTTGGATTTTATATATAGCTAACGGTTAAAAAAACAAAAGGAAAAGGGGTAAACGATGTCTTCTCTCCTTTTTACATGGCACCTGGTTACCTGCGGGCAGGCCTGCTCATGTCTTTTTGCCTGAAAATGATGGTGGTTTGATTACGGAATTGTTCAGTACGGTTTTCAGGTGGCCACTCACATTGGCTTTGCGTGAAGTTATTCTCAACAGAGAATACACTGGATCAAGGCCAGTTCCCAGGGGAAGAGGACAGAAGCTGGTTTTTTCTCAGTATCTTCCTTTGCACTTTCAGTTTAGAACTGAGGTTCAGCTCCTCTTGGAGTGTGTTACTGAAGTCTGCAGTGACAAACGGCTAGTGGTCAGAAAGTGTAAATGACTGCATATTAATAAGTAGAGGGCAGCCAAATACTATTAAAAGTGGATGAAATACATTTACTGGTGCCTTACAAAAGAGGAAGATGAAAATGTATATTGAATCAGAGAAATAAAATCACAGTAAAATAAAAATTTGTACTGATTATTTAAAATTTAAAAATGTAATAATAGTTA